GCAGGTAAGATACATAGGTTTAAGCATCACCATTCCAATATATTATGGTGGGTGAGAAGATGCATGTGGGACCTCCTGGAAGAATTCATGTAAATAAACTATGGATTTCAACAGCACAACCACCTACAACAAATACACACATAAATGATTTTCTTTCCAATGACAACTTTCCATGAAGGAAAACATTAATATCAAATTATGATTTTCCATAATACTTCTTCAACTCCCAATTTCAGAGATCTTCTGAAGTTTCACAGAACATGATATAAACTGTTGCAGTAGCTGCAGTCTATCAGCAAAAATAGGAGGCCCCACCTATTTTTGGATAAAACATAATGTTGCCACATTGGTCACACAGCAGTACACGTTTTCCACATTTCAAACATACACGGGGGGATCTCAACATTGTGACAGCCAAAAATCTTTTTGTACAGTTCCCATTACAATGGGAATAACATCACTGTCAGACTGCTGCTGATTAAAGACTTTTTCCTTTTACAGTATTATTATTATTAGAGAGGGGGAACATGGTCATCTACAATGAGACAGTAACAGCCTCCACACTGGATAAATAGGCAGACTGCACCCAGCAGGATTTCAGCCAATAAAATGTTTATGAAATTCAAAACACAATGCAATTCTCTATGTCTAGAATTTTCTGTTACTGTATGTATTTATAAGCCAACAGCTAACAAAAATGTGAAACTGTAAGAGTCACGTTTTGAACTGCCAAGCCTAACTTCCTCATGGAAGCTTTCATTATTACCTACACAAAGTTATGATTTAGTGACGCTGAGAAAACTGTGGAAAGGTAGAATAAATAAAATAATGAAGAAATAATAGCTGCCTACAGTCTATAATTGAAAAATGGCTACCCAAAATCTGGAAATGAAACAGTGCAGACTATGCATGGTTATAAAATTACTAAAATCTTGGAACATTTTGGAAGCTTGAATGTCCATCAGTGTTTGTGAGCCTTGCAACAGAAGCAATATTCAATCCCAGTTTCACACACCAAAAAGTGGCTGAAGTGGAGCACTGATACATGAGCATGCTAGACTCCAAGATAGTACAGATAACAGTTTAACAACTGCAATATACTGGCCAAATTTTATTCGGGAGAATGGGGAAGACCTCCTGTCATAAGTGCAACTGTGCACATCGTTTTCTCCTCTGGTTTTCCATGCACCACATGACGGGCCATGTGACCAGGAGCAGAATTATTTATTCAGCAAGTGGAAGCAGAGGAGCACCCCAATGAGAAAAAAGTACAGTACCACAAAGTACTAAGTTACAATTTTTAATTGCCTCACTAGGATTGGAGCGTGTTTTTATCTTAACATATACTATTTTTATTTATAGATATTAAAGTTGCCTAAATTTATTGAAGCTCTGATATCTTCCAAGTCAATATATGTTTGTAAAAAGATTCCTTATAAAGACTTAAAATACATACAAGTTTTAAGTGCTCAAAGTCACTTATACTTGAACTGTCAGCCTCAGTTCACTGTAAAGCATGAACTGAAAAGTTCTGAGACTTACCCACATTAAAAAATTGAAGATATTGAACATAAACCCTCTTTCAGTATAAAATCCTTAATATTAAATAAAAACAAATAAAACAGAACAAAATGCCCTGTACTTTGCTTTGCTTAAACGTTTGGCCACAGTACAACCTATTGGTTCTCCAGTTTGTTTGCTGTAATGTTCATGTTTGACTACAGTACAATCTATTGGCACACTTTATTCTGTATTGATTTCTCCTGTTTTCTGTTTTCTTGCCAGTTAGGTGCCAACAAAATAGGACTAATTCAGTCTTTCTAAGTTTGGAGATGACAGATTCAATCCAGACTCAAAGTAATCCTCTGCTTGCTTCCAAACAAATACACCTAACTTTATTTAACTGAATATACTCTCTAATGCATGCGCACAATTAGGTCCCACAAAAACTACTGGGTCAAATCAGTCATGGGTCATAGTGATTTTAATGGGAATCAGTGAATGCATTAAGAAATGCTGTATTTCTTAAGGAAACATTATTTTTAAATAATACGTCTACTCCAATGCAATTTCTATATCTTTTTCAAAAATGATATTCATTGTAAGATTCAACAGTACTTCTAACTAGATCTAGGCTTCTATTATAAAAATCTGGCAGAAACTTTAAATATAGTCACCTATTTCATCTGACGAATGATCTTTGGATGTTTGATTCACTGTGATTTTAATACAGTACTTGATCTTCAGTGCTCTCACAAGAGAAAAGGATTCAACAAGTTTCTATTTACATAAAAATAAGATTTTAGTTTTTGAAAGTGCTTTCATTGTGAAAATTTCTGGCAGTAACTTCAACAGATAATTGCTGGATTCTCACATTTCCTCTAAATATGGAAACACCCATCCCATCCCACTACACACTTCATACATGCTGATACAACCAATAAATAGGCAGCTTTATATTTATTTGTAAAGTATTTGCTACTAGATTTTTCATTTTATATAAACAAAGATTAAAACTATGAATGCTGTAGAGAATCCATATTTAAATTATTATTTCTACTTCTATATATTAAAGATATGATTATTGATATGAAATAAGAGTATTTTAAGTTGTGTTCATATGTATGCTTACTCATGAGTTCATTCTTTAGGAATGCTGTAATATTTAATAGAAAGCTTTCACTAAAATCCCTCCAGTTGATTATCCAGTGTATAATTAATTCCTACACTTTTGTGGGAATAATCCACACTTTGAATTTAACTACTCTCCCCTTCTATTCCGAGCTATAACTTTCTAGATTATTTTCAAAGCTTTACTGCACAAGTATACAAATTTTAAAGAAACCTAGAATACGTTTTAAATGAAATTTGAATTTTCTCCCAAAAAGTAAGCTATTGAAACTACTGGGCAACAATAGTTCACAGCAGTTCTAATTCCAAGAGAAAATGGAGAAACCTTTTCAGGATTTGAGGGAGACCTATGCCACCAGCCTGAAAAGCTAAAATCAAACATCTACATGGATATGTTCAGTATCTGATCAAAGTTAAATCTCTGATAAGTTTTCTGATTTTGGATTAAAAGCTAAAAATTGTACAACTTTTATTTTAAAAAAAGAACTGGCGCCCCTTAGTGTCCAAATATTAACATTTAGATCATTCATTGAATTTGCATGGAACTTTTTTTTTACATTCCAGAAAGTTTTCAGTATTTGCAGTCTTTCCACAAGGAAGCCAACACAAACAGGAAAAGGCAGAAAGATTTAAAGGGGCAGCTGAACTTTCTCTTTAGGATACCAACAAAGAGATATAAGGGCAAGAGGAGGGACAATAAACTGGTTGATTGTTGAATTAGATAATTCCAATCATTGTTTTGTATTTTAAAAAATACAGTATTGCCAGTTCAAAGAAGTGCAGAGCTTCCAAGAACTTTCAAAGTTTGCAGTAACTGCAAACATTCCTTTTCTCGTTCCTGAAACAAGCAACATTCCAGTCTTTTGTTCTTCAGTCAAACTTGCTGCATCTCCTTTGCTCAGATTAAACTGATGATTCAGAACTTTTAAAAACCCACTGTTGTAACTGTTCAATTTGGGAACATGAGAAGCTGAATTTACTTCAACGTTTTGTGCTAAAAAATATGTTGAAATGTCTACTACAGTATATGGAAGTAGCTTCTAAATACCATCTTCCCAATGTTTATTTTATTTACCTGTCTTATCCAAACAAGTTAGTAAAAAAAGAGTAAGTGGCACCCCCACAAGTACTGGTTTCAACTGATTAATAAACACTGTGTTTCCAATTCCAATGCAGAAATATTTCTCAAATCTAGGATGAATTCTGCACAAAATGAAATTCTCCCCAACAGATAAAAAATACAAATACTGCAGATGAACACTAAAACTGGATCTTAACCTTATTCATGTGTAAATGAGGACTTGGACAATTAATCAAGTTTATACATCCCCTAAAACTTAGACATTATTTTTCAGTACGTTTTTGAATGAAAAACTTGGAATAAAGGAAGGCCTACAATAGACCTGACTAACTAAAACAGAAAAGAGTTTAAAATAAAAAGGAGACATTTCTTTTCAAAGATTTGGGCTGAGTTGTCAAAAGCTTTTATCAAAAAAAAAGTTGCACGGATTAGACCGTCATATCTAGCCCAATTTGGTACCGTTTTATAAATCTATGATATTCTGAATAGGGGGATACAGAAGAGGATTGGGCATATGGATGGCCTGGAAACTGCAGTGAATATTCAGCAACGCCACAGGCACTCTTTCGTTAGTTTTTTGGCACTCAAATCGAGAATTTTCCGGTATAGATCCTTCAAAGTAACAACTGGCAAAGAAGTTTGCGCGTGTTTACGCATAAACTTCATGCAGTTTAGTTTCTGTGGCGAGACGGACTATCGAGTATGAGAGCTGAGACCTCAGGTCTTGGAAATGTTTCCCACCCAACTAAATCCCAACAAGACGCATATCCCATTTCTTTACGCCTCAAAACTGACTTCCTAGTACCTCCATAAAAAACGCAACCGGCCTACTACGCCTTCCTACTTTCTATCGTGAATTCAGGAATTTCACAACTCTATTGTCCCCGAGGACAAATAACTAAATAAAATAAAATAGCCGTGCCTCTTCCCCACCCTCGCCTTCCTTTTCAACAAACGTGGCGGGTATGTTAATCAATAAAAATGTATCTACGACTAAAAAAAAAACGACCGCAAAGACGAGACTCAAAGGCCAAAACTTCTGCCCAGACTTCCCGCTTCTCCCCTTTGTTTATGGGGGAAGCAGGCAAGGCCAAAAGACGCCGCCATTGAAGGGGCGAGAAAAGGAACCCGCCCCCATTTTGGGGACAGCAACGGGAAGGGCAAATGGGATCCGTGTACCGTAGAGGCCCATGTTTGTCGAGGGGAGAAAACCGCCGTCGTTTCCATAAACCCTGAGGGAGACCAGCTGACTTGGGGCGGGGGGGGG